AGGAGACGGAGACAGGGTCCCTGGACAAGTCACTTGTCCAGGGTCACCCAGCAAAGCCTGGATTCCAACCCAGGCAGTCTGGCTGGCACCACAGCCCTCACTCCCAACCACCAAAACACAGCTCTGTCCCACCTATCTTGCTGCATCCCCCCCACCAATTGCTTGCACACACTTCTGTAGCCATGCTCAAAACCTGCACGTGGCCCCATCTGTCGGTGAAGAAACTGGGGCCCAGAGACATTAAGTGGCTTTTTAAAGTTTAGGTGGTAAGTGGCAGAGCTAGGACTACAACCCAGGTGTTCTCACCCCAAAGTCCGGGGTGCTTTTACTTTGCAGAACAGTTACCCGACGTGGGCGTCTGGGTGGGGGGATTCGGGAGCCTGGAAGAGCCCTCAGTCTGATCCTTCGCTGGGGACTTGACCTCCTGGCCCAGGCTGGGATTAGGAAACGGCTGGACTCTGGCAATTCACACATATTTGGGGCATTCACACCCATGAGGGACACCTGAGGGGGGAAAACAGATTGATTTTAGCTGATAATACCTGGTGGTAAACAGGACCCTGATCCCTGCTATTGCAGCAAACTTGCCTTTGCTGACACAAGCTTGCCCTTCAGCTGCCTGCTCCCCCGTGACCTTGGGGCGCCACCCGGTGTCTGTCTGTGGGGAGTGGGGGAAGGAGGTGGCTGGAAATTGGCTGGAAGGACCCAGAGAGACCCCCTGGTAGGAAGACCTCACCTGAGGGTTACGCAGCAAAGGCCCGGATGGGTAAGGGAGGGTCCACTTTCCCTAGTGACCGGGGCCTTCCTTGTGTCTCGGCCGCAGGCGCCATGTCGGAGCAGCCGGGGGATGGCCGTCAGACCGCGTGCAGCAGCAAGGCCTGCCGCCGCCTCTTCGGCCCGGTGGACAGTGAGGAGCTGCGCCGAGACTGCGACGCGCTAATGGCCGGCTGCTTACAGGAGGCCCGTGAGCGATGGAACTTCGACTTTGTCACTGAGACACCGCTGGAGGGTGACTTCGCCTGGGAGCGCGTGCGGGGCCTCGGCCTGCCCAAGCTCTACCTGCCCCGGGATGACTTGGGAGGGGGCAAGCGGCCCACCACCTTGCCTGCTCTGCTGCAGGGGACAGCCCCGGAAGACCACGTGGACCTGTCACTGTCCTGCACCCTCGTGCCTCGCTCAGGGGAGCCGCCCGAGGGGTCCCCGGGTGGGCCGGGAACCTCTCAGGGCCGAAAACGGCGGCAGACCAGCATGACAGGTGAGGACAGGTACAGGGAAGGACTTTGTAAGAGACCAGGACTTGGCCGGGCGCGGTGGCTCACGCCTGTAATCCTAGCTCTCTGGGAGGCCGAGGCGGGCAGATTGAGCTCAGGAGTTCGAAACCAGCCTGAGCAAGAGCGAGACCCCACCTCTACTAAAATTAGAAAGAAATTAATCGGACAACTAAAAATACATAGAAAA